ATTTATAAATATTTTATAAACATACTCAGATAAGCATACTTTTTGTTATCTTCAAATGCTGTCAAGTCAACTCTGTGAACAAAACAAGATTCTCAGTCTCCCAGATTTGAGGGATTTCTTGAACTTGAAAATGGGTTTCAAGGAAGCAAGAGCTGCTCCTTTCCCATGCTGAGAGGCTGTGTTGTGATGGGGAAGAGAACCAATTCTTGAGTCTGTCTATGTAGGTTTGAGGTCCACACACTTACAAATTTGTGGCCTCAAGAAAATTGCTTAATCTCTATGTTAGTCTCCATTTTCCTGTCTGTAAAATGCTTATAATAATAGGTACCTTGTGGGTTATTTTGAGCAGTGAGTGACTTCATATGTTATAATGCACTTAAAGAAGCTCTAAGCCAGGCTCTGGTAACTCCCATGTGTAATCTGAGCTTCTAGGAAGGTTAACAAGGGAAGATCATGGTTCCACACCAGATGGAGATGAAAAGTTTGGGATACTCTGTCTCCACAAAAGGTAAGCTGGACCTGGTAACAACTGCCTGTCATCCTAGTGATGGCTCAAAAGAAACCCCACAACAAAAACAAAAAAACAAAAAAACCCACACTAAATTTAAAAGGAGAACATTCTTGATGTAAGGAAAGAAAAATTCTGACATGCTAAAGTTATTCTGATCTACGTGGTATTATTGTTAGTATCGTCCAGTGCTTATATTATAAATTGAACTTTTTCATTGGTATAAATGTATAGAAAAAGAAACCATAGTGTATTGTAAGATTTAGAAATATCTGTAGTTTGAGTATACACTGGGGGCTGGGTCTTAGGATATATCTTCTGAGGGTTTGGGTGGACTAATGCAATTTCATAGTTGTGAAACAAAATCACAATGTATTGTATGCTAATGTAAAAAGATAAAATATTAAAATTTTTGTCTGGCAGATGTGTACACAAGAAACCTCAGAGAGCAGTGCCTAATCCTTTTAATCCTGAAGGCTGAATAGTAGAGTTAGAATCATATATGCATGCTGGCAGCTATGAATATGGAGAAATTCATATTTAAGTGACAAGGACTTTTTGGTGGGAACGTATACAGCTTATTTAGATTTCCCTTTAGTTATGCTTTTATGAGACAGTCCAGCTCCTTATCAGATGCCTTCACATTGCTATAAATTTGGCTTTCTGATCCTGTGCCAGTTTTCTACACTGTAAAGCATTGAACACCATACAATTATGACTCTACAAAGAGGCTTAGCAATGTAAAAAGATTTCTCTACATATGTACAACTCTGAACAAACCTTTTAATACAAAAAATTAACAAAAACCTTTGGCATTTAGTACATGGTGAAAATTCTTTATACCTTAAGTAGTCTGAAATATTTTTTTAAAAAAATTAGCTTCCAGATGGCCAATAGACACATGAAGAAATACTCAACCTCCCTAGCCATAAAAGAAATGCAAATCAAAACAACATTGAGATACCACCTCACCCCAGTTAGAATGGCAAAAATCAAGAACTCTAACAACAACAGATGCTGGAGGGGATGTGGACAGAAGGGAACCTTATTTCATTGTTGGTGGGAGTGTAAACTTGTTCAACCACTTTGGAAAGCAGTATGGAGGTTCCTCAAAAGACTTCACATAGAGCTCCCCTATGACCTAGCAATCCCACTTTTGGGCATTTCCCCAAATGTTTACAAACAAGACCACACTAAAGCTACCAGCACAACTATGTTTATTGCAGCATTATTTACCATAGCTAAGATATGGAACCAACCCAGATGCCCCTCAGTAGATGAATGGATCAAGAAAATGTGGTATATATACACAATGGAATTCTATGCCTCCATCAGAAAGAATGACATTGCCTCATTTGTTAGGAAATGGAAAGGCTTGGAAAAATTATATTAAGTGAAGTAAGCCAAGCCCAAAGAAACATAGGTCCCATGGTTTCCCTTATTTGCAATATCTAGTATATGTATGAGTCAAGCAGAAAAGGTCAGATAATGTGATGTTAAGAAAATGAACCCTTAGATATGTATTTAAATGTTTTTTTTCTTTCATGCATTTGTTTCTAACGCATTTATAAGGTTATCTCTTTGTTGCTTTGTATGTCCCTCCCCCACAGTATAACCCCTGCTTTCACTATATTTGATGTCGGTATAATTTGTGGAGGAGAAGGGGAAAAACAAGTCGTTTAAGGATACAGGTGGACCCATTGCAACAATGAGAAGTACAAGTTGTCATGTTGAAAATGAATTTTACAACTTTGGTGGGGGGGGGGGAGGATTGGGTGGGTGGTGGGGGGTGGGAAGGGATGTGAAGGGTAAACAAAGGAGGAGGCTACAATGCTTGATAAGAAATGTGTTCATTATCTTGCCCATGTAATTGTAACCCCTCTGTACAGTATGTTCACAATAAAAAACAAAAAATAAAAAAAATTAGCTTCCACATTTTTTAAAAGTAGGGATTTAAAAACATGTATTTTACATTTCATATGTAGCTGCTAAATTATAGAAAGGCTAGCAATAAGAGAAGACAATCATATATAGAAAAATGGTAGTACATTACATTTATACATGGAAATGTTATTATAGACTCCTATAATATCCTGTTCAGACACCCTGTTATATGTCTGAGAGGAAATTATTGGCATGGAGCTATAATCTCTTTCCTTGAATTCAATGTTAAGTTTGCCTTTTTGAAACAAGAACACTAAAGATCTTTGCTTTTTTTTCTTATGCTTTTAATCTTTCTAGAAAATTGTAATTCAGACATTCTCTAAAACATGAGACATGCAGGTCAGACAATAGTAATTTAACTAATTGAATAAGTGAGGTAAGAACACTACATTGGTCACCTGAAATGAACCATGACTTCTTGTCTCTCTATAATGCCCTTCTTTATTGATTCTGGGTCTAGCCATATGGCTCCCTGTAGCCAATGGGACAACAGCAAACATTCCCAATGAAAGCTTGCTTAGTTGAGGTTTATATAGAACCTGGCTGCCTCACTGTAGGAGAGCTTTTGCAGAATGAGAAACTATGTTGAGGCAAATGAGAGTCAACAGCCAGCATGGACAGATGAGTGAGGCCACTTGGATAGCTTAGATCAGGTAGGTATCTGTTTAGAACTCTGGTTAGATGGTTCACCTGATCTGAATCAGAATCTTTTTTTTTTATTGTGAAAATACTGTACCGAGGGGTTACAATTACATGGGCAAGATAATGAGTACATTTCTTATCAAGCACTGTTGCCTCCTCCTTTGTTTCCCCTTCCCATCCCTTCCCATCCCCCCCTCCCACCCCCTGAATCAGAATCTTTTATATGAAGCTAACTGCCCATATTCCTAGCCCACAGAACTCTACGCAAAGAACAGATACTGTTTTAGATAACTACAGTTTGGAGTCATTTATTTCATAATAGTAGATAATGGATATTGTAAATAATAGCAAGGGTTTCTAAAGTTCTTCCAGAAACAACTCTAAAGTACAATCTTCACTCACATACCCCTTTTATATCTCTTGTTCATTATTGAGGTTTCATCTCTTAGTTTAAATCTAGCCAGATATATGAAAGTGTGGATGATAATAGCTCTATTCTATTTTGATCAAAACAATGACAAGTCTTTGGTGTGTCTCAAACACATATCACTCTTGAATATAAAATTACTTTAAACTAATCATCCAGCACAAGTGGCCAAACTGTGGATAAGTCAGTCTGATACAAAAAAATTTCATAGAACCAAACCAATACACTTTCTGTGATCTAATTAAGAAAATTCTGTTTTTTGTTATTCTATGTGGAACTGTATCCAGACAGCAATGCTAAGCATCTCTGGAAGGTTTATTTTTTGTTTTTTAATATATATATTCTTTACTGTGAAGATATTGTACAGAGAGGTTATAGTTACATGAGCAAGGTAACAAGTCCATTTCCTATCGAGCCATTGTTACCCCCTCCTTTGTTTTTCCCCTACCGTTCCTTTCCTCCCCACCTCCCTGACTCCTCCCCCCTCCCACAAAGTTGTAAAGTTTGTTTTCAACATACTGTCTTGTATATCTCATTGTTACAATGGGTCATCCTGTATCCTTATTTCAGCATTTTGTTATTTCCCTTCCTCTCCCGAAATTAGAAAAATATATATGTAAGACGCAGGACACTGGAATCAAAGACAGTGACAACAGGGGCTGTACCATGGGAGAAGAACATACGAAGAAACAAAAAAAATCACATAGTACATTATAACAAGAACAGCAAGAAGGATAAAATCTCTGTGTCCCTATCCTGAGGTTCATTTTGCTTAGCATCAGGTTATATGGTCATATGTACATAGCTTCTGACCTCTTCTGCTTGTCTTAGACATATACTAGTTATTGCAGATATGGGAAACCATGGGACCTATGTTTCTTTGCACCTGGTTTACTTCACTTAATATAATTTTTTCCAACTCTTTCCATTTCCTAACAAATGGGCGGTGCCATTCTTTCTGATGGAGGTATAGAATTAATATATATATATATATATATATATATATCACATTTTCTTGAGCCATTAATCTATCGAGGGGAATTTGGGTTGTTGTTGTTGTTGTTGTTATTATTATTATTTGGTAAGTAGTCTTTACTTGAAATGAGGTTTCTTAGATTGAACAAATGGCAGGGGGAGGGGGATGTTTCCATTGTTCTTTCTCTGGAAGAAATATGCATTAGAAGAATATGCATTAGTAGTCATTTCTGAGGTAGCTAGTGGATAATATGGGAAATGGTAATATTAGTTCATTGAGTTGTGTGGCTTGTATCTAAATTAGCAACTATAGCATATCATTGATTACCAAGAAGAAAAAGATGTAAGCTGCCAGTATATATGACTATTGACACCACAATCACAGCCGTAACCACAGTAATGCTTTCTTGTGCTTATTCATGGCACTACTTATCAGGTAGGTAGATACAAGATACCAGGAAGAAAAAAGTCCTGATCAGATAATGACACCAAAGCGAGACTTACAGAGAGCAGTATTTGGACAGCACTGTGGATGACCTCCATGTATTGGAAGCTGAGGGAGCAGCCTGTGACAGAGACATATGTGTAGTCATCCATCATGCCATGTGCTGATGGAGGCAGCACTCTCCGGACACAACCAGGCCCGTGTTCCCTCCACCATGAGCGGTGCACAGAGATGTTGAAGGTCATCAGGTCTGTATCCTAAGTGGGCAGGAGACAAGAGAACAAAGGACAGAATTATATCACATCACCGTTGGCTTTAAACTTGGGAAGAATTCAGGATAGATGAAACTGCTGACATGGTTTTCATCTGAAATGAAACAAAAGTCAAAGCTAAACATGGTGTGTGTGTGTGTGTGTGTGTGTGTGTGTGTGTGTGTGTGTACACCGTGGTATACACTGTCAGGTCAAATTTATGCAATGTAGTGATATATTCTGTGAATGATTTTAATGTGGTAAAATTAACCCACATCAAGAATTCTGATGTGAGACCTTCCACATATGTTCATTTATTTCCCAGCTGGGTGCCCGTGGTGTATCCTGGCTAAAACTGAGATTAAAGAGGTTGAGAAGAAAGGACTAGGTTTAAAAGCCTGGACAAAAAGTGTGAGTCTCCATCTCCTTTAACTAGTGAAATGCTTGACTAAAGGCCTGGCTTAAGTGGTAGAGCACAAGCTGTGTAAGCAAATAAGGTGAGTGAAAGCAAGAAGCCCTGAGTACTTACTCGTACACCATGCGTGTGCACACACACACATACACACACACACACACACACACACACACGCATTTTGAAACCTTTTTGCTTCATTCTTGTTGTTGTAGCATTGTTATTGATATTACAACCATCTTTGACTAATTGAGTGCTTTATTGCCTAGTAGGCATTGCTATAAGTGAATTACATGATTACACTTGTTTCTGGGTTTCATGGGGTCTTGGGTCTAGGAACTACTGAGATAGTAAAGAGTCTGTATGTACAAGTTCCATACACAAAATCATCTCCAGACTACTTAACATGCCTAATAAAGGATATAGGGAAAACATCATATACATAATTGTTCTGTTGCATTGTTTAAGAAATAATGAAGACAGGCACTGGTCGCTCATGCTTATATAATCCTAGCTACTCAGGAGGCTGAAATCTGTGTATTGCAGTTTGAAGCCAACCAGGGAAGTAAAGTCCCTGTGAAACTCCAATTAACCACTCAAAAACAGGTAGTGAAGCTGTGGCTCAAAGTGGTAGACCACTAGCCTTGAGCCAATAGTATTCAAGGTCCTGAGTATTCAAGTATGCAGGTCCTGAGTTTAAGCTCTAGGACTGACAGAAAAAAAAGAATGAGAAGAAAAAAAATCTGTACATGTTCAGTACAGATAGAATTGTTTTCCTATTTTATCATTTTCAATCACGGATTGGTTGAATTTATGGATAGGAAACATAAAAATATGGAAAACAACTGTATATTCTTTTATGTTCATGTACATAATATCAATTTAACTTCTCTATAATGAATAATTGCTCACCTAATAGATTTTTATATCCTGGTCCCTGGTATCTGTGATTTTACCTCAGATTACAATATAGGGTTTGGCTGATGTGATTCAGTTAAGATCATGAGATGGGGAGATTATCCTGAATTATCTGTGTAGGTCCTGACTGTGATTGCATGCCTTCTGATTAGAGGCAAAGAAAAAGAGGGAAAGGCAATGTGACTGCAGAGGCAGAGATTTGGGTAGTGCAGTCACCAGCTAAGAAATGTTATTGGCCATAGGAAGCAGAAGCAGCAAGGAATGATTCTCTTAAGTTTGAGAGACAACTCAGCTTTCCGAATATTACAAATGCTACTCAGTGAAACTCATTTCAGACTCCTAGAACTATGACAGAATACATTTCTGTTGTTTAACATCACATTTGTGGTAATTTGTCACAGCAATCCAAAAAAAAAGTGAGTCAGAGAAAGGTAAATAATTTTCCTAAGGAAGCTCACAGCTGTTAGTGGTGGGAAGGACTTGATCCTGGGTACCTTGTACTTTGAGCTGTATCTTTCACCCTATCTCACTACCTGACGTTTACCTGGTCAGCATGTCTGAACTGCTGACCACTCTTCCCATCTGAAGGGAGCCAGGTCTTTCCTTCTTAGCTGTCTCCAAAAAATAATACCACATTGGTGGTGGGGGAGGGGCGCAGGAGGAATAGGAATGGCGGGGTGCGGGGTGGGGGGGATGGGAAGGGATAGGAAGGGGAAAGAAAGGAGGAGGCAGCAATGCTTGGTAAGAAATGTACTCATTATCTTGCCCATGTAATTGTAACCCCTCTGTATGGTATTTTCACACACACACACACACACACACACACACACACACACACACACACACACACACAATAACACCACAGGAAACAGACCAAAGTAGCCACTGCTTAATTTTTTTAAATACGTTTTTATTGTAAAAATACTGTACAGAGGGGTTACAGTTACATGAGCAAGGTAATGAGTACATTTCTTATGAAGCATTGTTGCCTCCTCCTTTGTTTTTCCCCCACCATCCCTTCCCTCCCACCTCCGCAACTATACTCCTCCCATGCCTAAATTGTAAAGTTTGTTTTTCGATATAGCGTCTTGTACATCTCATTGTTGCACTGTATCCCTATTTAAACAATTTTTTTCCCTTCCCCTCCACAAATTATACCAACATCAAATACAGTGAAAACAGGGGTTATACTGTGGGGGAGGGACATACAAAGCAACAAAAAAATATCATGGTACCTTATAAATACATTAGAAACAATAGCAAGAAAGAAAAGAACCACTTGTATCCTTATCTTGGGGTTCATTTCACTTAACATCCTCTTATCTGACCTTTTCTGCTTGTCTCAGACATATACTAGTTATTGCAAATAAGGGAAATCATGGGACCTATGTTTCTTTGGGCCTGGCTTACTTCACTTAATTTTTTCCAAGTCTTTCCATTTCCTAACAAATGGGGCAATGTCATTCTTTTTGATGGAGGCATAGAATTCCATTGTGTATATATACCATATTATCTTGATCCATTCATCTTCTGAGGGGCATCTGGGTTGGTTACATATCTTAGCTATGGTATCACTGCTTAATTTTTATATGTCAAAATGTCTCCAAAGTTCTTTTTTTATTGTAAAGGTGATGTATGGAGAGGTTGCATAAGTACAGTAATGAGTACATTTCCTTCTAACAGCCTAGGATTCTGAAAGATGACCTTTGGCATAGGCTCAGTATCTCTAATCTAGACAACTGATGTTTAGAATGTTTCATGTCTGTGTGTGAAACTTTTTGAGTTGCAATATGGAGGCGCACATGCAAAATTCCACAACTGATCTCACAGGACAGAACACAGTCAACACTAAAAACTTGTATAAAATTGCTTTCAAGCCATGTACATGAAACAAATAATTTTGTGTTTAGGCTTAGCTCCAGTTTTGAAGATAATCCATGTATATACAAATATTCCAATATTGTTCTGATATGACTGAAATATGTAACATTTTTTGTCCTAAGCAGTGCTACTCAACTTGTATTTCTGTAATGTCAACTATGATAGTCTAAGATTGTAATATATATACATATATATATGTATGTGTATATATTGTAATTGTAATATATGTATATATACATATGTATAATATATGCATATATTATAATATTGTACATATTTATACATATATAAATATATATGTCATGCATGTCACACATATATTTTAATTTATGCATAGTATGTATATAAATATATATATTTGTCATGAGCAGTTAGTTGAAAAGAACAGATGAGAAAAAAGGATATTGCTGTGCAGATAAAGATTATTACAGCCTATGTGAAGCAGAACTGGGGGTGGGGGTGGGGTGATGCTGAAAAGTGCCTGATGGTGATGTCACTGCCCCAGGTCACAGTGCCATGGGCTGGAGGCGCAGCAACAGGGTCAATTTCTGTTGTCTTCCTAAGCCCCAGAGTCTGAGCAAGCTCTGCTGTCATTCCTGCTAGGGGTTATGCTGGGACAAGAACCTTCGTGGCCTTCCTGAAGAAGTCAGAGCCTACAGGCCAACTATGCAACCCACATAATACTCTAAGTACTTTGAAGCCTTCTTTGAGGACTGTCTCTACCTAATGGCATGGAATACTGCTCAGTTCTTGAAATTCAGGTTGTAATCCTGAAAACTTAAGAAATGCAGTGGAAAATGGAAAGCCTTTGAACTTGTAACTGGCTCATACTGAAAGTCATCAATGTAGACCTTGGAGTAAGGGCAGGAAGGGGGCCTGCCTTTCATTTTCTGCCATATATGGCAAGAGATTCGTGAGTTAGAAGCATTCCCATTGAAGGTTAGTGGAAAATGATCTTCTGAATGCTCAGATTTAACTCATCTTGAACAAGCCAAAATAATTTTATGTCTCCCATTACATTAATAATAAGGCATCATACATTCTTTTTTTGGTTATTGATTTGCTATTCAATTACTTTCACAGTAACAGCGCTTTATTGATAATAAAACGTTTCTCTTCATTTTGGGAAATTGTTGATATTCTACAAGTATCATTTGCAGTTACCTTCTGAAGGGAAAATATTATAGAAAAATAATTGCTTTAGCTGCTGCTGTCAGTTTAAGATGAGGCAATTTACCTACAGGCAAAGTTTAGAGAGGCACCTTGATTGCTCCCTTTTCTGGTCATCAGCTTTAATCTCTTACAGTTATTCTTGATCACTATAGAGAAGCTGAATGCTATTTTAATCTTGATAGAATTCATTAGCTCAGAATGAATTAGCATGGGCTCAAAATTCATAGCAATTCCAATTCTTTAAGCATTCATCTCCAGACAACTTTTCTGTAAGTTCAATATAACTTTGACTCAACTTTATGTTACACAAATGAAACACAAGATAATTTATGAACTAATCATATGTGTGTGTATAAATAGATAGATAGGTAGACAGATAGATATGTATGTATTGCACCCAGAGCTCGCCCAGCATTATTCTCCCTTAATCACTAGGACTCCATACATAAACTTTACTCTTCTTTGCAAATGACTATAAAATTTTGAAATTGAATATCAATAGCATAAAATCATACTCAAATTCTAAACTATGGTATGAAATTTTGTTTTGCTTGTGTCTGATTTCTATGCCTTTCAGTTTTGGATTTCAAACACAAACAAAACCATAACAAATGACAACTGA